CCCTGTGCAATGTCAGCTTAGTCAGGCGTGCGATTGCCTGTTATATACCACCGTAGATCCCCATACTCACTCTCAGGGAGCGTGGATCACATGGGCGACTGAACACGAATATACTAGCGCCGCGTCAGGCAAAAGTCGAAGCTTCAGCTGTCAAAGCAGTTGCTTTATTTTTTGTACACATTAAATGTGATGTTTGTTTTTAAATATGTGCAAGTAAACTAAATGGTGATCTCAGGATCTTGTTTAGCATTTGTTTATTGTTATCCTTACTTATTTGTGGTCTTTTTCAGCTCCATATATAAGACTGTTCTTAGGGGTTCCGCAAAATTCTTTCGAGTTTAAAAGCGTTCCGTGGCCACATAAAATTGGGAAACCCTGGTTTAATGAGAGATTGCATATTTTAACGCATCTCAGCTACTTCATTCTTAAATCGCTTCTGAATTCCTGCACATGCCATCTGGCCCTGGGGACTTATAGCTCCTTAGGTTATCAGGCTGTTTGCAACATTTCTCCTTTTACCTTTAATCTGACAGCACCTCATCCTTTGACCTGTTAAAAGGCAGGTATCTCCTCTGTAGTGTCCCTGGTGACAATTGAAGTGAATAATTTAGCTTCTATTGTTGTTTGGTTGGTTGTTGTTATCTCCAACTGACCTACCTCTCTTCTCACAAGTCGCCTACTTCTGAGAGTGATTCTCCAACATTCTAGTGTGGAAAATGGTGGAAATAAATTTTGACCCCAATTGTAAAGTATAACAATTAACAGGCCCTTTTGTTAGCATGGGAACTGCAACAGAACAAAACATGAATGGGAGCTTAGGTTCAAGTGATCATTGCTGAGTCACATTTATTGTGTACCAACAGAATAAAGACTAGATCAGATGCATATACTTGGTACTATAACAGGGCTAATTTCATACATTTAAAAACACTTACGAGCCAAATCATCTGGGAGGAAGAATGGAATCATAAACATGTCTGGCAAGAAACTGCTTATCCATAGAGCATGTTGTGGAATCCTCATTCTATGATCATTGTCATTACACTTTCCTATTGTTTGTCTGTGTGATCTCTGTCTGGTTTGTAACTGTTTGTGTCTGCTGTATAATTAATTTTGCTAGGTGTAAATCAATTAAGGTGGTGGGGTATGATTGGTTAGGTCATTTTGTTATGATTTGTTAGTAAAATTATACTAAAATAATTGGTTAAGGTCTAGCTAAGCAAGACTCAGGTTTCATTATATAAACTGGGGTCCAAGAAGGAGAGCAGGAAGAAGAAGATCGGAACTAAGAGAAGCAGAAGGAAGGAAGCAAAAGGCTGGAAGAAGACCAAAGGGAGACAAGGAACCCCCAGAAGAAGAACTTTCCTCCAAAACCCAGCCTAAGATAAGAGCTGCCAGGACTCTCCTGCACAACTGAGACATGCAGCATCTAAGATCCAGAGAGACTGACCTTGCCTGGCCAACAGGGGAAGTCTGCCTGCCTTTATCAAGACTGGTGAGCATGACACTGTGTGCTTAGCATGTGTATTCTGCTTGTTTGGCAATTGTCAATCAATAGAGGATAAGGATATTACTATGTGAGGCTCTTTCAGTGGCTAAAGATCCTGCCAAACCTGCAGGAAGATGCACCCTGAACCCTAGGAATTGGGTAAGAGTGGGTGTGTAAATTCACAGGGTTGCACCTCGAGCCCTAGGAACTGGGTAAAGGTGTGTCCCTACAGTGTGGAAGGGACAGAGAAATTTGTGCAGGTAACAGAGAGCACCACGCAAGGAGGATGTTGATTACATGCAGAAGGTTCAGAGAAGAGCCATGAGAATGATGAAGGGGTTACAAATACTTGTACAAAGGAACAAATACTGGATAATGCGCTCGTCAGCCTAGCAGACAAGTGAGGTGTCGGAACTAAGGGTGTGGGGGATGCTGCTGCTGCACCCCTGGCCTCTCGGCTTTGCTCCTGGGGTCCTGGCTGCTGCTCCGTGCACCGGCTTTTCAGCTGCTGGCCCCACACGCTGGGTTCTCGGCTGCTGCCCCATGAACTAGAGGCTCTGCTGCCAGCCCCATGTGCTGGGGCCCAATGGCCACAGTCTGTAACACAGTCTTAGATTCAAGGCAGCACAGCCTAATGGATAGAAACAGTAACAAAGACGTGAGATTCAGGGTGGCACAGCCTAATGGATAGAGTCAATAACACAGATGTGAGGTTCAGGGCAGTACAGCCTAATGGATAGAGTCAATAACACAGACGCGAGGTTCAGGGTGGCACAGTCTAATGGATAGAGTCAGTAACACAGAGGTGAGGTTTAGGGTGGCACAGTCTAATGGATAGAGTCAGTAACACAGAGGTGAGGTTTAGGGTGGCACAGTCTAATGGATAGAGTCAGTAACACAGAGGTGAGGTTTAGGGTGGCACAGTCTAATGGATAGAGTCAATAACACAGACGTGAGGTTCAGAGCAGCACAGCCTAATGGATAGAGTCAATAACACAGACGTGAGGTTCAGGGTGGCACAGCCTAATGGACAGAGTCATTAACACAGACATGAGATAAAGGGAAGCACAGCCTAACGGATAGAGTCAATAACAGACGTGAGGTTCAGGGTGGCACAGCCTAATGGATAGAGTCAGTGCCTGGGGTTTCAGCTGCTGGCTCTGTGTGCCACAGCTTTGTTCTTGGTCTCAGCTGGAGATGGGGGTGGATAGTTGGGGGTGCTGATCGCCTCTACCCCTTTCTGAAATGTTCTCCCTCCACTGGCTGACACAATGCAGTGGTTAGAAGCTGCAGCTAGAAACGTTCAGGCTGGAAATAAGGCAGGCACGATTCACCATGAGTCTCATTAAGCACAGGGAGGTGGATCCCGATGAATTGTCTGTCGCTGGCAATTTACAAGTCAAGACTGGGCGGTTTTCTAGCAGACCCACTGGAGGGGCGTGTTACCACAGCTGAGACTCTGTGGCTGAGACTCAGCACTGCCCTGCAGCAATTTCTCTTGTGTTTTTATGACTTTGGGCAACGTGCTCTTCAAATTTCTTCCCCGTCCTCCTCACTTCCTTCTCACGTTTCACGGGCCACCGTGTCACTGAATCGCTACTGAGCTCGGGCTGGATTTCCTTTCTCCGAGGGACACCAGATGGATCGAGTCACCTCTCGAACCTGCCATCGAACAACAGCATGTCTGGCTTCCCCTTGCATTCTAGGAATAGGCATGTCTCTGACACTTCCTTGTGTGTGCTCGGACGCCGCAATGCCAGGGCCACACAAGACCTAGTTCGATCGGTGTTTTCCTGCCATCGAACAACAGCATGTCTGGCTTCCCCTTGCATTCTAGGAATAGGCATGTCTCTGACACTTCCTTGTGTGTGCTCGGACACCGCAATGCCAGGGCCACACAAGACCTAGTTAGATTGGTGTCTTCCTGCGCTGAGTCTCTGGGGGCATGTCTAGACTGTATCCTGTCGGCAGAGGGATGCAGATTAGGCAGGTCGACATTGCAAATGAGGCAGGGATTTAAATATCCCGTGCCTAATTTGCATAAAAATGGCCGCCACGTTGTGCTGACTCAGCACTTTGTCGGCAAAAGTCAGCCGTCTAGAGGGGGATCTGTCGAGAAAGAAAGCCTTTTTCGACAGATCCTGTAAATCTCCTTGCAGGAGGCATAAGGGATCTGTCGAAAAAGGCTTTCTTTCTCGACAGAGCCCCCTCGAGACTGCCGATTTTTGCCGACAAAGTGCTGAGTCGACAAAACGCGGTGGCCATTTTATGCAAATTAGGCATGGGATATTTAAGTCCCTGCCTCGTTTGCAATGTCGACCTGCCTAATCTGCATCCCTCTGCCGTCAGAGGGATGCAGTCTAGACATACCCTTGGTTTTGAGAACTAGGATGGGAGCATGCTACGAACAACCACACTCTAATGCCTGTGCACAAGCCATTGTTGCGAAAGACTCTCCATAATAAGTAGCAAGAGGTTCTGATACCATTGGGTGGGAGATGAGGATTGTTGCTTTGCCTGGTACATGTGACTGTCGCGTCGTAAGTACGCCCCGTCCTGAGGCAGCGCTGCCCAGTGGTCACAGTCTGTAACACAGTCTTAGATTCAGGGCAGCACAGCCTAATGGATAGAGTCAGTAAGCGTCAGTAATACAGCGCTAGGGTTCCTGGCAGCACAGTGTAATGGCTAGAGTCTCAGGGACTTGGGGCAGCAGTCCCAGTAGGCGGCCCGGGCCCACTCTACTCTACCGGGCCCCAACCCAGGGCCTTGTCAGAGGGGGATTGAACCTCCACTCGCTCAGCAGGGAATCCCACCACAACATGCTGAGCTCACTCGGGTGGGAGATACCACTTGTGTACCCTCCCGGGGTGATCCACATAGTTTCTGTGTCATCAGACTCCACAGTGCCAGCCTTCTCCTGCGGCTCCGCCAGCTCTGGCAGCTCAATATGGTCTCACGGGTCTCTGGCTCCCGTCATCGGGGCTTCTGGCTGGTCCACCTCTGGTGCTCCCCGAATGGGCCCTTCCTCTCCAGTAGCAAGCCCAGACTAAGCGGAGCTGCTCCCTTTTATACTGCCCCAGACCTTGGAGCATGCCCAGTGTGGCTGGGAGGCGGGACTTCCTCCACCCACTAAGCAGTAAGCCCTTCTGGCCCAGTGCAGGGTATGCACAGTGAGCCTATAGATTTTAATTTGACTTGAAGATCTTTTTGACGTGGTGCAATCCATATTGGACAACAGTTCCACATAAGTGGGGTGGTAAGATGAAAGCACACCCACCACTTTACAGACTCCTTCCCCCAACACCCCTGCCTAGGCCACATCCCTGCTCTAGCCACATAAAGAGGCATTGTTCAGAAGGAAAACAACATGCTGCTGAGTAAGTAACACCACTTCCTGCAGTACCTGAGTCTTCCTGGAAGGTTTCCCCATCCCCATACCGGCTATGCCTTGCCCTAATTATCTGGAGAAAGTTGATAACAACTCATGATGACGAGGCTGCGGGTGGAGAGAGCCGGAATCTTTCATTACGATGGATCTTTAATTCCTGGAGACTTCAGGACTATCCTGGAAGGCTGGTAACCCTCGGAGGAAGAAGAAATGGAAAAGAAGATGGTCGTCAAAGGGAGCCGCAATTTGGCATCAAATAATACACTGGTTCCCGACCTTTTTTATACCGCCGACCAGCAAACCCATTCATAAACTTTTGGCGGACTGGTAACATCTTATTTACACATTTGCATATTCATTATGCAAATTAAGTCACATATTTGCATAAAGTCAAAGACCCAGCCCCCAGAGCTGCTGCAAACAGCCAGCTTCAGCTCTGGCATTTGCCGGCCATGCGCCCGGGGTATACCCCAGCCCCGGTCCTAGAGCAGCCAGCATGGGCGTGACCTGGCAGCGTGCCGCAGCCCAGCAGCCAGTGGTGCACGGCCTGGCATCGGTCCACAGAGCGGCAGTTGGGAACCACTGAAATAATAAACTCAGCCAGCAGCTGACATAGAGGATCCCTGTGCGGCGCATGGGCTGGGAAGCCTCATCCATCACTGAATGGAGCCTCCTCCGAAGGAATAATCCAGCCTAACTTCACAGCTCATGCAGCACCAGCAGCGCTGGATGAAGGGGAAAGGCCTTTGATGCCACGGGACAGGACCAGTTGTGCTCTCGATGGCAAGCAAACATATAACTCTGCACCTGGTACAACCACCTCGGGATGCTTGTTGTGCCAATCTCAATCAGAATAACGTATTCCTCTCCCTGCCACGCATGCCAACGTGATCGCCCCGTGGGGCAGACGGAGGCCATCTGGCCACTCAGTCCTCATACTGTAAAGAGCTTTGTACATTTGGGACTGGGAATAATATTTTATTTTGCTTTGCCCTCAGAAGAGCAGGGCCTGTAAAACCGCCCACGACAGACCCTACGTGGATTGCCTGCTGGAAATGGAACAAGTTCCCCCAGGACGGTAGGGCACACTGGGTGCATTGTGGTACGTGAGGGCTAAGCCTCAGCCAGCGGGCGCTCTGAGAAGAGGAAGACTCCAATAGATAAACAAATGACTTTAATCAATATGGAAACATGTTTTACTTGCTCCCATAACTTAAGAATGAAGGGTCACCAAATGAAATGATTAGGCAGCAGGTTTAGCACAAACAAAAGGAAGAACTTCTTCACGCAGCGCTTAGCCAACCTGTGGAACTCCTTGCCGGAGGATGTGGTGAAGACCAGGACTTGAGCAGGGTTCAAAAAAGAACTAGATCAATTCATGGGGGATCAGTCCATCAGTGGCTATTGGGTAGGAATGGTGACCCTAGCTTCTGTTTGTCAGAGACTGGGAATGTGTGAGAGGGGTGGGATCGCTTGAGGAATCCCTGTTCTGTTCACTCCCTCTGGGGGGTCTGGCATTGGCCACTGCGGCCAGACAGGACACTGGGCCAGATGGACCTTTGGTCTGACCTATCGTGACCGTTCTGATGTTCTAACAAGACTCCTGGGCTGTGTCTAGACTGGCAAATTTTTTTGCAAAATCATTTGATTTTGCGGAAAAACTTGCCAGCTGTCTACACTGGCTGCTTGAATTTCCACAAGAACACTGACAATCTCATGTAAGATCGTCAGTGTTCTTGCGGAAATACTATGCTGCTCCCGTTCGGGCAAAAGTCTTTTTCTGAAAGACTTTTGCGCAAAAGGGCCAGTGTAGACAGCATAGTACTGTTTTCCGCAAAAAAGCCCCGATCGCGAAAATGGCCATCGGGGCTTTTTTGCGGAAAACCGCGTCTAGATTGGCCACAGACGCTTTTCCGCAAAAAGTGCGTTTGCGGAAAAGCATCCTGCCAATCTAGACGTGCTTTTCCAAAAATGCTTTTAATGGAAAACTTTTCCGTTAAAAGCATTTTCGGAAAATCATGCCAGTGTAGACGTAGCCATGGTGTAGAGTGAGACAAGATGGTACCAGACACAATGACAAGACTTCGCAATGGCTCCAAGTTGCATTCTCTGGAACGCTGCTATTTACCCACATTTCTAGTGACATTAGTGAGGGTGAAAGGTGATGGATTCCTAGGGTCTGGTGTCTCTTGTTGGTCAGGAAACTTCTCCACACAGGGCCTCAACCCAAGCCAATTCTGCGGTCAAGGAGGTTTATCAGCAGCCATGACACATAGAGTTCCTCACCTCTGTGAGGAGACTTTCCGGGCTGGGGGGAGAGGGGGAGGTAGTTCTAGTGATGCTGTGACCTGTCCGCGAGGAAGTGAGCTGAGAGCGCCGGCCCATGGCACATAGGCCATTCTCAACTTATGGTCTCCACTAACCTGTCTGACCTGAACCGGCACAAAAGCCTCAGATATCATTAAGAATCCCCTGGAGAAGCCAGCAGATTCAATCTAGTTGCCCGGTTCTGTGGGGAAATGAATGTCCAAGTGGTTTTTGGGGAGGATGCTTTCATAGAACCATAGAATACTAGGACTGGAAGGGACCTCGAGAGTCATCGAGTCCAGTCCTCTGCCCTCATGACAGGACCAAGCACTGTCTAGACCATCCCTGACAGGTGTCTGTCCAACCTGCTCTTCAATGTCTCCAGAGATGGGGATTCCACAACCTCCCTGGGCAATTTATCCCAGTGTTTAACCACCCTGACAGGTAGGAACTTTTTCCTAACGTCCAACCTAAACCTCCCTTGCTGCAGTTTAAGCCCATTGCTTCTTGTTCTATCCTCAGAGGCCAAGATGAAAAAGTTTTCTCCCTCCTCCTTATGACGCCCTTTTAGATACCTGAAAACTGCTCTCATGTCCCCCCTCAATCTTCTCTTTTCTAAACTAAACAAACCCAGTTGTTTCAGCCTTCCTGCATAGGTCATGTTCTCTAGACCTTGAATCATTCGTGTTGCTCTTCTCTGGACCCTCTCCAATTTCTCCAATTTCATTTTGCTTTGGAAAGGCAGTGACAGCCCTGAATTTTAACTTTTGCTGCTTTTTTGGGGGGAGTGGGGGAATTTGGCACCATTCCGATTGCTCTAAGTCGCTTTTTCATGAAGTTTGCCGGATTGTGTGAAGCAGAGCTGAGAACTCTGCTAAAAGTCTAATCTATGCCCACAACGAGCGAGTGCATGAGTCATTTTAATTCTTGCTCATGTTATTTCCTGGAGGGGGATGGGAGATGGTTTAATTCACGGCAGAAGAATGTAAAGGCCCCACCGCACGGAGGAAGAAGAGGGGTGGATCAGTTGATTCCCCACTGTGAGGGGCAGTGAGTAGGAAGACACACAAAAGGCTCCTCCTTCTTTGCCGGATGCACAACCCTGGTAAAATCGTGCGAGTGTACATTGAGATGCTTGGTGTCTGAGTTCCCAAGGCTGCAGCCGTGTCTCATCTCAGTACCATTGCTTTCTGTGTCTCTGTGGGCAGAGGTGAGACGAGGGGAGGAAACCACAAGTGGTCTGGGCTGCAGAAGGTCACGATTGCAATACACAGGGGTCCAGGTGCAGCCTTTCTCACACACATACATACGGCTGGAGGAAGAAGAACAGGGGTTGACGGGGTTGTCGATTTCTCTCCCTCCCCTTTGTTGTGATGTCTCTTTCTCTCATGTCCTGTCTCGGTTTGTCTCACAGCTCCCTCGCTTGTCTTATTTTCTCCGCGGGTTGTTCCCTTTGGTTAGAACCTCTTGTTAGAACCACTCATTTAGTTCTGGTGCAGACCAAGCAAAAGTTGATGCAGATTTTCCCCTGAACCCAAATGGGACCATTGCCAAGGTCCCGAATTGTTTGATTAACTTTAAGGTGATTTATTATTCAGTAACTTGGCAGTTCAGGGTTCTGGCTAAGATGAGAACCATTTAAATTGCCGTCCTCAATGCCTTGAGATAGCGTTAAGGTGGAGAGCACCTACCAGTAAAACCAGGCTGTTCTTGGGGTAACAGCTCTTTGGCCATGTCTCACAAGAGATTGAGTTTCTGGTGTTCGATTTCACGGGTCTACTTAAGACCCTCTAAATCAAATGCTGACGGCAGCTCCAGTCAGCGCTGGTACTCCTGGCAGTCGTGAGGAGTAAGGGAAACCGACGGGAGTGTTTACTCCCATTGGCCTCCCTCTTTGAAGACGGCGGCAAGAGAAGCCGACTCCAGCTACACATTTTACATATCCAGAGTTGCGTCCCTTACCCAACCTGCCACATCTCGTGTAGGCCTGGCCTCTGTCTCATCCCAGGAGCAGGAGCCATTCAGATTTTCATGAGAAAAGATTATCTAGGCAAGTTCCTGCATGATTTTGCAGGATCAAAGAGTTCAGAGGAAGTGCAGCTAAAAAAGCTGGGCCAACTTCCTCCTTGATCTATGCTCAACTGAACTCAGTGGCACTAAACTGGAGAAGAATTTGATCCAAGAACCTTTGGTTATCGCCGGTTACCGCTTGGTGACTGATATCGCCACCATTGTCACAGTCTTTGGATGGGGGAAGAAGATTTCAGTATAGATCTGGGCATCGTGAGATTGGCTTTATTCCTATTTCTGCTGCCGTGTCTCTCTGGGCTTGTCACACAACCACTCTATGATTGAGTTTCCCCATCTTTAAAATGGGGATAATAATTAGAGGTGGCAGGGGAAACACATTTCCCGTCAAAAATGGTGGGGAAAACCAACATGTTCAGGGTTGGGGGAGTTTTTTTTTTTAAAATGGGGAAAAAAAATCCATGTTGTCACGAAAGCCATTTGGCTGATTTGCTTTCGGTGCTTTATCCCCAGCATCTTATGCCCGAAAAAGCTGATCAGGTTGATGGGAAATTCCAGTGACAGAAGGGTTAGGTGAGCGAGGGGAGCAAAGACGATGTAGAGTGGGGTGGGGAACTTCGTTTGCTGACCCACAGAAAAATCAGTCGGGGGCCGCACACTAGTGAGAAGCAAAAAAAAAAGTAAATCCGCACTGATGGGGCCCCTGTCTGAGGAAGAAGAAAGACACCCCCACATTCCCCTCCCACACCAGAGCCTAGGGGGGCCCAGGCTAGTAGATTTTGTGGGCTCCAGCCCCATACAGGGGTTGTGGGGGGGGGGCTGGAGCACCAGCATTTACTCCCCAATGCAGAGGGGGGGAGCCCTGAGACTTGGGGGTCACATCTAGGCAATCTGCCTTAGGTTTCCCACCCCTAATTAGACACGCAAGGCGGAGGAGTCTTGACTATCAGGGCCCCGTGGACTGAATACTGGATTTCTGAGCAAGGAGCCGGCTGTCTATTTAACCTCTTTGGACACACCCACCTTCGCTAGTAGGAACATTTGGGGCTTGGTTTTTAAACAGGCGTGCAACTGCCCGCATCTCTTTAACGTGCCCGTGCAACTGCCCCCAGCCAGGGAACTGTGTGTGCAGGTAACTACGTGTGCCCTTCCCAGGACGCAACAGTCACCATGCCCCATGGCACACACAGTCCTGCCCCAGCCTTGCTCAAAGATCAGGCCACTAGACCGTCCGTGTTTGGGGGGGCGGGAATATTGTGAACGATATATTCGTGCAGCGCCTTGCGCAATGCGGCCTGCGTTGCTTTGCTCTTCGAGGATGTAAATGGTAAATAGGAAGGGTGCCAATGCTGATTACATGTACTGTGTCCGACTCCATTTCCCAGAGGCAGGCATGGTAAAAGTAGGGTCCCTTCTCTGTGGCATCAGCCTACACACCATAATCTTCCCTCCCTCCCACTCCCAAACGATCACTGTCTCTTTCGCCCTTCTATCTGGACAGCTGGAGTGGTCCAGGGTGTGTCTAGACTGCAGGGGGGTTTTTCAGAAAAATGGCCGTTTTTCTGAAAAAACTTCACTTACGCCCACCTGCTATTGCGTTCTTTCAAAAGAAAATCGAAAGAATGCAGGGGTTTTTCCAACATCGGCAAACCTCATTCTACAAGGAAGAACTCTTTTTCTGAAAGAGCTCTTTTGGAAAAAAGCATGTGTGGATGCAGAAGAGGGAGATTTTTCAAAAGAAGAGGCCTCCAGGAAAAAGCATAGGTGCCCTGGTGGCCGTTTTATCCACAGTAATCACAGCTGAAATGCGAGGGAGCGTCCATTCAGTGTAGATGCTCTCTTTCAAAAAAGCAGATCACTTTTTCCATGCGCTTTGCCAGTATGGACGCTCTTTTTCGGAAGACTTTTTTAGGAAGATCTCTTCCGAAAAAGCTTCTTTCGAAAGAAGCTTGCAGTCTGGATGTACCCCCAAAGTGAACAAATTGTTCCCATCCTTTTTCCGCCCCCACTTTGCAGTGTTGTCTTCAAGTCATCATTGTCAAGTCCAAGTCAAGTCTCTAGTCACTACAGTTCAAGTCTCAAGTCGAGTCTTGAGTCCCTAAAGTCACTTTTGAGTCAAGTCCCAAGACGAGTCTCAAGTCTTAATTTAAAAAATGTCAAGTCACTTTTGTACAAGCCATCAATATCGGCATTTTCGGACAATTTTTTCACCAAGTCGATTTAACAAAATTAGCAAGTCTCAAGTCACAAACAATGAACCCAAGTCGAGTCACCTCGGTGACTTAAGTCATACTCGAGTTCAAGTCGTGGGACTCGAGTTAACAACTCTTCCACTTTGTCTAGTGGTCTGTACAGACAGATTCTCTCTTGGCTTCCAGTCTAGGCTACGGTTGACGGTCTGGTTTTAGGCATCCTTTTGGCAGGAGTAGATTTGGGAGCCACCGATCAGTCCTACAATGATACGTTCATGGCACACAGGGTCCACTGGTGGATGCTAGCCACGGTAGTTGGAGACTCAGCTCCGTGCTCTATGTGTCTACAAACCTCTGGTGGCCGAGAGTGGGGACAGGCCAACAGGGGATGGATCGCTTAGTAACTGCCCTCTAACGCATCTGGCCTCGGTCACTGCTGGAAACAGGGTACGAGGCTAGAAGGACTGTTGGTTTGACCCGGTATGGCCGTGCTCTTTATCACATGACTGATGGAAGAGAGAAATCCAGAGCCAGGAGAACCCAGGCATTTCTGAGCTCAGGCAGTGGTCGGACTGGATTGTGAGATCATACTGCACCGGGCGTGCCAGCTGCCCGCAGGATGGCCTGGCTGTGTGAGCCAAAGGCAGCCTGCCAACCCTCCCTTCCCTTTGCATGCCCTTCACTTTCCCCAGCCTGCTTCCAAACCATGTGCATGCCTTTTCGGGGATGGTGATGTAGGCTTAATTCTTGGCGAAGAAGGAGCAAAACCAAACATTTGGTCTCAGGGACTGGCACCGGAAGGCTAGGAGGCCTGAATCCAGCAGGGGCTGCATGCCGCATCACCTGTGCCTCAGTTTCTCTCTCCTTCGATGAGGATAATGGTACTTTACCCACCTTCGGGAAGGGTCTCGATTACTCTCAGCAACCACGGAGATGCAACGTATTATTATTAAACTCAGTGTGCTGACAAATCTGTGATGGTCCTGAGGAACGGGCATCGCATTGTGACAGGAACGGGGCAAACACCACAGTGCCAACCCCACCTCGCACAACATGCAATCTAAAGAGAAAAGAAGGCCTATTGCCCCTATGGCTTCTCCATGCTCTCAGAGAAGGTGGGAGCATAGATGCCTCCACCGCCATATCACCTTGCCTCTCCGAAAGCATGAGGGTAAAGCAGGAAGAGGCAGGTGGATAGATCAGGTGTTATCAACATTCCCTGCTGTGGAAAGGCCAGGGGTGAAACGTTCCAGATCAGAATGTTATAAACCAGCCAATGTGCAGGGGAGTTTGGATGCGTTATGACATTGGCAATAGGATACTTTTGCTTTGCAGAGAGCGATGAAACCCTAGCTCCCAGCAGCAGCTACACCTCGTCTTATCCTCTGGCTTCTGGGTGGCCCAGGTGAAACCAGCTATCTTAGTCGCGTGCCCGATATCGACATTGCAATCAGCCTTCTGGCAAGCAGGCCAACAGAGAGGCCAAGAATTGACGGGACCAGGGATGGGTTGTGGTTCCTCTTCCTGGTCACAGCTGAGACACAGTGTTATTGTAAGTGGCTCCAGAAAGCCAGAGCCACCGGTGTGGGTGGGCTAATTAGTGAATGCAATGTCCCGTCCCCTCTGGGGAGCTGGGATCAAATTCTGGCTTGCAGTGGGAGATGAAGACTTGGAGGTTTCGAAAAGTACCAGCGGGAGCTAATGCATCCCGGTATTGGCCATCGCTGGACTTCTGGAACTCAGGAGATGCCCAGGACTTGAGCGGCAGGGTATGTGGCCAAGGTGGAGGTGTATTCCTAAATACTCACATGGGGGGAGGGATAGCTCAGTGGTTTGAGCATTGGCCTCCTAAACCCAAGGTTGTGAGCTTGATCCCTGATGAGGCCATTTAGGGATCTGGGGTAATTCTGTCAGGGATGGTACTTGGTCCTGCTGTGATGGCAGGGGACTGTACTCAAGGTCCCTTCCAGCTCTACAGGATAGGTATCTATTACATTTGAAATCTACTCGGTGCTTCCTGCCACTAAGCCTGAATCTAGCTAGAGCTGTCAGCTGCTGAACTTTAGAACAATGGCTCTTTTAAAGGTGGGATCTCATTCACGCCAACCAGAGAGAAGAAATGGCAGGAGGCAGGGGCGGATGAGAGTTTTGCGGGTCCCAGGGCAGCACAATTTCACGCATGCGCCGCGGCCACGGCCGACAGGTAGTAGCGCGTGCGCGGGGCCTATTGACGCGCGGGGCCCAGGGCAGCCGCCCCGCTCGCCCTGCCCTATATCCGCCGCTGGCAGGAGGGAACAAAGCGAACGAGGAAAAAGCTGCTCAAAGCAGTGACTTGAGCAACAAGTCAATAGACCCAGCTGCCCGGCCCAAAACTGACTCAAGCCCAGTATGGGCTCTAGTCCTCTGCGAGCTGAGTTTGCCCGATCCAGAATGCCCAGGTCCCAAATCCTCACCACGCCCTTTTCAGAAATGGCATTTCGACCTAAGGCGGGCTATGGTTTGAAGGCTAGAATGCTTTTTGTACAGGGCCAGGCGCGTTCATTGTAGAATCATGGAATCAGAGGGTTGGAAGAGACGTCAGGAGTCATTGAGTCCAGCCCCCTGCCCAAAGCAGGACCAGCCCCAGCTGAAGGCACTCAACAACAAAGGCAGGCGTAGAAAGCAGCGAGACTCACCATAGAAGTCCAGCCTCGGTGCTGACAGAGTTCTTTTAACGTAATTCGGTCTCCTCTACATCAGCACGCTAAGCTACAGGCCAGGTTGTGAATTCCTTGCTCAAAGAGATGAGCAGTAACCCATGCGAGGAGATCTGTGGAAGTCAATGGAGTCTGGAGGTGCTCAGCTACTTCCTGGATCCAAGCCATAGTTCTGACCAGGCAGTCCTCCTCTGGCGCCGTCTGTGAAATAAAAATAGGCTGGAGAACAGGTGCTGGAAATACCAGGCCGGATCAAGGCCTGGCTGGAAGCTGCAGCTAGACAAATTCCGACTCGAAATAAGGCGTGCGGTTTTCACAATTATGTAATTGCTCTTTGGGACAATGTGCCAAGCGTCACGGTGCACTTTCCAGCACTGCAAGTTTTTCGAATCAAGACAGGATGGTTTCTAAGACATCTGCTCTAGTTTCACCAGTGCGATGGGCTTGGAAGCTGAAATTAAGTTCTAGGTCCTGTGTTGTAAAGGAGCACAAACTAGGGGATCACAGTCATCCATTGTGGCCTTAAATATCTGTGCATTTATGAAAGCACCCAGCACCCATTCTTGGCCTCCTGCAAAAAGCCAGATCACAGAGACAGGAGGAGGATTCTACAGGGAGGACAGGCCTGGCCAATCTCCGGGTGTTGAAACAGGATGGAAACATAGCAAACTTTCCCCTGCAATCTAGAGCAACAGTCACATCATCCATGGGCACTTCCCACCCTGCCATTTCCAGGAACGGAGCTGAATCACTCCCCCAACAGGCAGCTGCCAAAATCTTTAGCAACAGACCAGAATTGGCCTGATTGGGAAGCCTCCTGGCCACACTTGCATGGCTGGAGTTTTTCATTTTTTTTAAAGCCTTCTCAGTAGATTGAAAAGTGAATGCAGACAACACACTTTTCAGATATTAAGACCATGGCGAAGTAGCGTTGCCTGGTGTCTGGTTTTGAACTGAGCAGTCTGGTATTTCAGCTTTCTGTCCGGGAAGCAAACTGAGAAAATCCCAGACATAGAAATGTCCGGTATTTTCTAATTAAGTTTTTATTATTATCAGGAGTATCAGTACGAAGTTGCCTATTGCCTGGCTGGTAGACACGCTCACGCTGCCAGGCAGTACGCAGCTATGCAGTAGAGGAGGGGGTGGGATGGAATCCCCGGGG